TAGCCCAGAATGGCATCCAACTTGCAATCTTCCTGCCCTAATCTTCTGAGTGCTAAGATTGCAGGCAAATGCCACAGGAGATTTCTGGCAGTCTTCGTGATTTGCACTCCTTTATAAATTAAAAGGAGATTTTGGTCTTAGTTGAGAGAGTCAAAACTACCAAAGTTATCAATGAATTCTATGGCAATCTTGTTCCTAGTGAACATATCTGTGGCCCAACAACCATCGCAGTGAGTATTCTAAAGTGTTATATGTAGGAGTTCGTGGAAAGACAAAGTTAAAAGATGGTGGGAGTCAGGATATATTAACAATAAAATAAAAAAACATATGAACTACATCTGCTTTTATACAATGAATTATTTCTCTCTTGGAAAGGAAATTTAAGTATGAAAATTTCCAAGTTCATACATAGCCAATGAAATATGTAAACTCAAATTAAAGATTTATGTTTTGAGCTTAGTAAGGAAAATTTAAATTTGCAGTTTATAATGTAAAATTGCTATTAGATTTTGTATACTTAATTATAGGATAAAAGTTCAGTGCTGGGTGTGATGGTGCACACCTTCAGTCCCGGCACTCGGGAGGCAGAGGCAGGCAGATCTCTGTGTTTAAGCCCAGCCTGGACAACATAGCAAGTTCTGAGCCATTTGAGGCTACATAGTGAACCCTGTCTCAAAACAAAACAAACATCCCCTCATAACCTCCCAAGGTCATACTGTAGCCACAAATAAGTTTATTTCACTTTCACAAACTCTTGGTGGAATTTAAGGGCTCTGAAGGAAGATGAAATTGTACAGGAACTTCGATGATGAGTAAATTCAGACCACTTAATCCCTGGGTGTGCTAAGTGAGGACACTTCTAATTCAGTGGTGTTCCGCTCATTTGGTAAGGGATGCTGCCAATCAGTAAAGTTTTGGAGACTTGTCAGGGGAGGATAGTTATGAGGGGTTTCAGCCCACTTACCTGGTATACAAACCACTGGCAAAATGCTGGGGAAACCCATTCTCGTGCATGAATGCCACAGTCCATAAAAACAGCCTTTCTCTTATCATCTTTTTTCCCAATCTGTTTAAATATAAGATATTATTTCTCACTAGCTCACATATTAATCCCAAAACAATTATTTTCCTTGTCTATTTTTGAGTTGGGACAATGCTTACACACATTTGTCCTCAACCAAGACAACAGTAGATATCCTGTCTATATACAATTCATAACCTGTTACATGAATTTAAACAAAAACTTTTCCAAGTTTTTTTTTATCTTTTATTTTATGTGTATGAGTGATTGCCTACACATGTGTAAGTGCACCTGTGTCATGATGCAGTGCCCGTGGAGGTTAGAAGAGAGTGTCAGACCCCCTGGAGCTAGAGTTATGGACAGTTGTCAACCACCATGTGGGTACTGGGAATTGAACCTGGGTCCTCTGCAAGAGCAGCCAGGGCTCTTAACCACTGAGCCATCTCTTCAGCCCCATTTTGGGGGGTTTTAAAATAAAAAGATAAAACACAATCTAAGACTGGAGAAATGGTTCAGTGATTAAGAATGTGGACTGCTCTTACAGAGGACCAGAGTTCTGTTCCCAGCACCCACAACAAGCAGCTCAGAACTGTTTATAACCCCAGCTCTAGAGGATCCAACTCCCTCTTCTGACCTTCTCCAGCATCTGCATTCATATGCACACACCCCTGTGCAGACACACACACACACACACACACACACACACACACACACACACACTTGAAAAATAAATCTTGGAAAAATACAATCTAGTGCAGATGAGACGACTCAGTGGGTAAACGTGTTTGTTGCCATTCCTGAGTTCCATTTCTGGGACACACATGATGGAAGGAGAGAACGAACTCCACAAGTTGTCCTCTGACTTCCACCCGTACTGTGGCATGCACGTAGCCTCTCTCTCTTAAACAAATAAATGTAATAAAAGAATTAAAAAACACACAGTGTAGTCTTGGGCCTGATGCACACCTATCACTCTACATTCCTGAATTTGAGGCCAGCCTGGAATAGCATCAAATAAAACCCTGTATTAAAAACTTCAACTCCCCAGCTCCCAAAGCCAAAGCAACCACACAATATATTGCCTTTCTTATTCCATTATTAACACTCTGTGTTGTGACATAAAGATTACAAAGTCACTACTTTTCTTTTTATGTTTCTGGTTTCATGAACTGGAGACATTTAGCCTGGAGTGAAGTCTTGTGCTGTATTTAGAGTGGAGTAGGACCAGTATCAGCTACTTGAAGGACTGTCATTTTGAAGAGAGTTCAGATTTGGTTTGGGTTTGGAGACACTGGATGGATGGGGATCCAGGACGTGAATGGCTTCTAGTTACTAACAGGATGCTCAGGGAACAGAATCTTTGGACTTACAAAAATCCAGCAATAGGAGAATTGTAATAGTCTGTTCAGTTGTAGACAGAAATCCTGCATCAACACTGAGCTAGAATGTCTTAAGCACTCTACTGGGTGTTATAACTGTATGACATTTAAACTTCTCTTAGTGATAGTCCTTGACAAGTGTCATTGAATTTTAATGGATTAGGAAGGAGTTTATAGACAAAGACACTGCAAACTGTTGTAATGTGGTTGTAGTGTGAAATATTCCTCTTGGTTTGCCTGTTATGCAATCTCTGGCAAATGTTTACTCTCTTGGTTGCACAGAAAAACCACTTGTTACTTCTATTCTTGAATTGATGTCGATGTCTAAAGTTCAAAAGTTATGATTTAGTATTTCAAAATTAGCTCAACTGCCACAAAATACTTTTTAAGACCATTTTAAAAAATAGTGAAGTAATGAATGCTTCTTGAATTATTTTTACCTTGAGAACATATAATGGATTATTTTCAGCAGTCGACCCAATTTTAATCCGAGAAACCATTTCAGGATATCTCTCTACCATTTTTTCAGTCCAAGCTACAATCTTAAGAACAAAATCAAATTGGAGAAGTTAAAATAAAAGAAAATTGTAGAACATCAAAGGATAAAATCACTTTAAAAGAAACAACAGGCTTTTTTTTTTTTTTTTAAACAATAGGCATTTTACACCTCACCTTGTCCCAGTCGTTGTATTTTGCATAACTGTGCCTGCCTGGGATTCCATCTTTAACATCAAACTGCTTCTCTATTTCTTCTTGTACGTCGTGTATCAGGATTCTGTTTGACAGCAGAATGGTAAAACACAGTTTTTTTTTTTTTTTTTTATCATGGGAACATTTGATCATGGGAAAGAAAACACAGCTTATCTGTCATCTTCAGAAAAATGTTTCTTCCTCGCTTCGATCTTTGATCAAGTCAACTTCCCGTCACAGCCCTAACCCTTGCCAGCTCCTTTGTACAAGCCATTGTCTGATTGCCCATCTATCTAAAGCTGAGCTGTCTCATGTGACAGTTCTAGACACACATTGCTATCTAACACTTAAAATGGCTCTGTCCAAAAATAGACTGTGAAAAGAGTACAGCAGGCATTAAATTTTGAAGAGCATGTATAAAACTATGTTAAATATTTCATTACTAAGTTTTATATTGGTTATGTATTGTACTAATGAAATTTGGGGGTATATTTGGCTACATAAGTTAATTTTACCTATTGCTTTTACCTTTATAATGGATGCTGGTATGTTTGAAATCACACACTTGAATCATGGTATACTGTCATAATGCTCCCAATTCTTCTCCAAAGCACCCCCACGCACAACCACATGTGTGTCTCACAAGTAACAATGGATATTCTTACGGACAAATACACAGAACATTCTTTATTGCTTCACCTTTTGAAATTGGGAAAGAAACCTGAATAACAATAGTGAAGATATTAACAGTCTCTAAGCACTTAGCATGTATGAGATATTTCTCAAAACTTTTATGTACATTCAATCATTTCATCTTCACAAGAGATTTTTATTTTTATTTTACCCATGAAAAAACAGAGGCACAAAATGTTCAAACAACTTGTCTACCTATGGAGCTAGAAAAATGGCTAGGGTGTTTTTAAGAGGATGGAAGACAGGAAAGGTCACTGGGAGCCCAAGACTGCTGGAATAGCCCAGAAGGCCTATTCCTCAATTTCCAATTTTCATCTTTTCTTGAGTCAACCTATCTCATTCCATAAGCTCCTAGATGCGCTGATGTGGCCATCCAGTGTCTGGCCTCTCTCCTGAACTTCCGCCACATACTTCATTTTTTCTCAGACTCTGGCATACATTTATTTATTACAGGACAGATACTGCTTTACAGGCGCTGTTTAATAGTGTCAATATTGTCACCATTAACCAATGGGGAAATTATTGCTCAGAAAGACTATTTGGTTACAATTTGTAAAAATTTTAAAATTTATTGATTTTGTGTGTGTGTGTGTATGTGTGTGTATGTGTGTGTGTGTGTTTGCATGCTTGTGACAAAGTGTGTGCATGTGTTTGTGTGTGTAGGTAGAGGATAACTTGTAGGAGTTAGAGTCTAGAGTTAAACTTCAAAAGATATGTTTTACTATTTCAAAATTAGCTCAACTGCCACAAAATACCTTTTAAGTCCATTTTAAAAAATAGTGAAATAATGAATGCTTCTTGAATCATTTCTACCTTCTACCACGTGGACTCCAGCATCAAACGCAAGTCTTCAGACTTAGCAACAAGTTCCTTTACTGCTGAGCCATCTTGCCAGCCCTGTAGTTACAATTTCTGTGTTTTTGGAGTTGAGAATTAGAATCCAAAATACTTCAGATTTGTTTCAGAAGTGCTATTTGCATCATGGACACAGATATTTTTATGTATTTTGTTTATTTGGGGATTTACTATTCAGATTCATTAACTTATTTTTGAATTCCTGTGTAATAATAAACTGTATTTAAGTACAATAAAATCTAGTATTGGAGAAAGAATCTCCTTACTCATATTTTTAAGCAATGTTTTGTTAAAATAATTTTAGGAAATATTAAAATCATCAGAAAAATGAGCTCTTGATAGAAACTTTATTAAATTATGAATAAGTTTGAGAACAATTTTGCTAAAACTGGACCAAGTTGTTTCTTTTTGACTCTTTAGAAAATTTTAATTATTGTATTACCTTTTCATATAGCTTTAGATTAGTCTTGTGAGTGGTACTTTTCTCTAGCAAATATTTAATTCCATGTTAGTCATATTAAAATAGATTTTTTAGTTACCCTTATGTATTAGCTGTTTACTAGTTTAAAAGCTATGTTTTCACTTTTAAGAACTTTTAGGAATGTGTTCAGAGTTTCTGCTCAGCTGTTCTTTCCGTCCGTAGTTACCCTTTCTCTTCCTGTTTCTTTGCTTGTGCTGTTGGGTAAACTGAACGGCATCAGAGGAGGACATTCTTTTTTTTCTGCTTTTGGTGGGAAAAATCCATCTTTCACCACTGAGTATGATGCTGAATACAACTTGGGATGAATACGGCAGTATCTACCTATATGATCATCTTATTTTTGCTCACTGAGGTAGGGTTGCATTGCTGTCTAGTACTGATTCCTGGACGTATTAAATATTATATTAGAGCTGCAGGAGATCTACAAGCACCCTTGCAGATTGCAGCCTTATTTTGCTCCTTTTATACACAGCTTTACAACTCTTGTTTGACTTCAAAGGAATGTGAGTCATTGGGTGTTGGGGGACCCTGCTGTTAAGGTCGTAGTCCACCATGTCCGGACAGCTCTCTGAGCTCGGCTCAAAATGGAGGACTCCCTTTCTCAGTGGGGGTCTCCTACTCTCTGCCTGACCTTATTTGGAAAGTGTCTCCAAGCACAGATGCCTGACCTTATTTGGAAAGTGTCTCCAAGCACAGATGCCTGACCTTATTTGGAACATGGCCTTTGACACATTGCAGTTCCCTGCAAATGCTGCCCCTGGTTTTCACGTATGATAATTAGGCATTGCACTACAGCCAATCCTCTCTCCCCTTTCTACACGATAGGGTCCTCCTGCCACATGTAAATAAAGCATAGTATGAACACCTATCAGGTGAAGCTTTGACTGTCACCCTCACCCTATAGATTCCCTCCAACCCCCTAAAGCGGTCTCACTGAAGCGGACTCTCAGAAGTTCTTTCTGTTTTACTCACGGCCGTTCATTGTGACCCTGTCTGTCGCTTCTGCTCCCTTTGTTCTCATGGATTGGTGGCCAACGACCCTTGAGGGAAGAGAGACCCACAATTGGGAAAATGGCTTGTTAAAAACAAGCACAGTGGTATCAGTAGGTGACAGATGACAGAGAAAAGAAAAGTGAAACTATGGGACAACAGGACTAGAAAGCCCAGAGGTAAACGGTTCCTTGACATTGGCCCAGCAGAACCTATATAGTTTGGTAGCTTCTGCAGCCCTTAAGGATGTCAGTCTCATAGACCAGTAAGAAAACTCCTAATTACAATAATTCTTACCTAAAGCTAAGCTGTAGTCATTATATTCTATTCTGTGGTGCAGAGAACTGTGGCTTATGATAGAATCATTTAAATAAAAATATTTAAAAGAAAAACATTGAAAGTGTATTTATTGAAACAGTTTTTTTTTAAAATGGATTATCTCGCTTCCCACTGACTCTATAAAGGTATTATTGTGTTCTAGTCAGTGAGATGACATGCGTTTTTCTTTGGTTAGCAGCAAATCCTGAGTGCAGGAAGGTGTTATCTAATGTTCTTTGTAGCCATTTAGTCATGTACTTATTTATCTAATAAGGCAGCAGTATCTTAGGGTCAGATTTTTTTATTTTGAATGCCATTTCTACTTATTAATGCTTGGTGTGACCTTGAGCAGTTTAAGTATCTCCCTGACCCTCAGTTTCCTCACTTTTCTAATAAGATCAACTGTGTTGGCTGGGATTATCACAAGGATGAAGGAACAGCAGTGCTAGGTGTGCTTGGTATCCCTCAGGCACCCAGTGACTTCACAACAGTTGGAAAATTGGCAACCACTGCACGGAACCAACACCCTTGAGGAACCCTTCTTGGCTTAGTTTCTTGTAGATTGACTGATGGATCTGAGTTCTGATGCCGAACACAAATGTGATGTGCTCCTAATTAAAATCTATTTAGCACAAGGACCAAATGTGGGTTATGAATATGGATACTCACTATCAGCACTGACAGGCACATTGTTACCATATCATATAGAACTCACTGAGTGCTCAGCGTATCATTTGTGAATTTTTGATTTCTAAGGATGTAACTTGTTATAATATTGTTATAATAGCAATTTTGGAATCAGATGGGGCATGTTGGACTAAATCTCCCAGGAAGCCTGAGGAGGTCTGAAATTGTATTTTGGACAGTTGCTAAAGACATAATCCATTGCTTTAACATCTAACAAGAACACATATCCTTTGCTCTTTCTGCATGAATTAGAATAATCAACAGAAGAGAAAATTTGTGATCCCAGAGGCTGACTTAAAATACAAAGCAATATTAATTAGTCATAGGACCCTGCATCTAAAAAAATATTTTTAAAAATTTATTTTTAATTATGTGTATGTGTCTGTGTATAAGTATGTGCATTTAAATGCAGGTATCTTCAGAAGTCAGATGTGTCAGATCCCCTGGAACTAGAGTTACAGGTGATTGTGAGTCAACTGATGTGGGTGCTAAGAACTGAGCTCAGGTCCTCCGGAAGAGCAGTACAAGCTCTTTCTTTTGTTTTATTTTGTTTTTTGCATTTTTGACAGGGTCTCCCTAGTCCCAGCCCACCTGGAAGTCACTATGAGGACCAAGTTGGCCTAGATCTCATAGAGATCTACCTGCCTCTGCCACCCGAATGCTGGGATTAAAGGCAGCTGGCCACCACACCAGGTGTACCCCTAACTACTTGGTCAGTTCTCCAGTCCCCATGAATATTTAGACTTACACATATCAATTTAGCTCTTGTGATAACAACAGCAACAAATAAAATTATGTAAGTGGAAATCCAGTCTTTCCACACATGTAGGAGGACAATGGAACAGACTATTGCTGACATGGATTGTAAATCAAGCCCAAGGCTGGAAATTAAGACCTAGGGTCAGATGTCATTTTTATGCAGGTTTAAGCAGATGGAATCAAATTACTTTCTCACAAATATCATTTTCTAGATTTTTTTACATTGTTAGAGAAAAATCTAATCTTAAATGTAGACAAAAGGATAAATAATTATCACCAGAGATTTAATAATACAAATAGCC